ACCAGCGGCTGGTCTCTATAATGATCACGATTTATACGATATGCAACGTGAGTCGGGAACGTTATAAAATTGTCCAATGGCAGTTAAGAGAACGCGTGGTCTTTAATGCTGGACGGGCGAACACGCGACGAATCGTGCGCGCGCGCGCCCTGGTTGTTTCGCGTGCTTTCGCGGGGCATGACCCCTTGGGGAATCGGGGGGTTGGAAACCGGGAATAAAAATAGCCGCTGTTCGATCGAAATCCGCGAACAAAGCTTCGATCCACTGGGCTCGATCGATCGTCTGACGTAAAAGCTTGCGCTGAAAAATCACGAACATGCTTGGAAACTGAAACCTCTGGAAGAGTGACTGAAAACACACTGGAAGACTCTTGTGAATATTCGTAGAATAGAGTAACTTAAATGTACACACATTTTATGGATTCCTAGATGTTTGTTCGTTGAACGAAATCAATCTTGCACAACTTCGACGGAGACAACAAACGACACCCGAGTCGATTTAATTGTTAAACACACTTTCAATCGCACACGGGAGAAACACGGAATCGAGCGGCGATCTTTCCTTTCATTCGTTTATCGACGAAGCTTCTCTACCGAACAACGGAGACAGGAGCGCTCCGATACGGAGTGAAACCTGGGCCGCCCCAATCAGGAAGATTGCTTCGTGAAAAGTGACTTTCAATCCCGGGGCTCCCTGGTCGACGTTGAACTTACTCGAAACTTCTCTCGAAGCTCAACGTTTCCAATCTTTCTCCGTTAACTCGATACTACCCGAGGTTCGATCGGGTGTTTACGACACGCGACACCACTGCTGAGATCAAAGGCGATGGATTTTAAACTTTCAATTCCACCGGCGCGGAACAATTTCAAACTTAACCGACCTCTGACGGATCTGTTCGAATCCATCTGCAGAACGACGTAGAATGTTCCGATGAATAATTCTGATGGAAAAGAATGCTGTCCAAATGTTTTAAAAAAACCCTCGATCGAAAAATGTTATCGATATTACGAAGGTTAATTAACGGAATTATCCCTGTATTTTCCATACAGATACCATTTTTATACTACCTTGGGGTAGTACGCACCGACAGTTCGAAAAGTAAAAAAGCAAGTAATTTATACCCAGCGCCGAAGATAGAAAAAAGCGTCGTTTAAATTCGAACAATTGCAATCGATTCCGCGCCGTTCTTTGTCCACCCCCGCAAATCCCGGCCACCAACGGTCGGTTAATTTCAAAATGTTCCTCGGTCGGACTACAACTTCTCGTTCGGCCAACCCGAACGGTGGGAGAGCGGGTGAAAAAGACGAAACTTTTTCGGACGGAAAAAAATTCAAAGGAGATTATACCGTCATGAGCTTGCCTGCGGTATTATTCGACAATGTTAATCCGCCTGGTATTACCACCGGCCAATTCCGCGAGATAATAAATAAACCGAACGAAATAATATTCGGCACGCAGTCCTGCTCCATCGGATTTTCGTTTGAAATGGAAAAAAAAAAAAAAAAAAAGAAAACACGTCTCCTTTTTTAGGCAAAGATGATTGTACATGCAAAAATAGGTTGAAAAAAGAAAGAATAACATTTTTGCATTCAAGGCAACGTTTTCGAGACAATCGAATTTAAAAATCTGTTGAACACGCGTGCAGGTGAATAGGACTTGGCCGGGGTGCGTCTGCTCATTGCATTCAGTTTCTACTTACCACCATGACAAATCCACACGTTCCAGATCCGTCTTCAAATTCGATTTTCTCGAAAACGAAACCTCAGACGAAAAAGATGTATTCTTTTCTTTGGACTTATTTCTTTTTATAGAATCAGCAGGTTATATCCTGATTTTTCATGGTTCAATATTATTTCCCGCCGAACCAGCTCGGAAGCAAACGACGGGTCTCGCGATGCAACGTCATTCGGGAGAGCTCACCGTTCCTCGTGTCGACATTCAATCCAGCTAGGCTCGCTAATTTTATTTTTGTTTTTTATCACGCCGGATTTTCCTACCCACCAGTTTTTCCTTCGACGTGTATTTCGAAATATAGGACACGGTGTGTGTGTGTGAGATATTCTCATCGTCTATCGGGCGGTGTACATATACTATATTCCGAGGCGAGCGTCGACCGATCGATCGTTCGCCATCGGCTGGACCCTTAAACGGGGAACCACGAGGGTCGCCCGGGTCCACATCCACCCCCTTTCGTCCCCCAGTTCGTACTGTCGTCGATGCAAATTCGCCCCGCAGTCGAACGGATTCGGGCATAATTGCGGCCGTGTCGACCAAGCGCTCGTGAGTTCGATTTCTTCTTTTTCTGGGGGGTGAGGGCGTGTTGCCCCGGCGAAAGGGGATGCATCGAGTGAGAAGTTTTGTGGAACCTTGCGGTCATTCGTGGACAAAGTTTCGAACAACTAGAAGGGTAGCCTCGAGAGTTGAAGAAATAACAAAGTTGTTTTTGATATCCTTTGATATTGTAATTTCTGGTCGTTTTCCGAACTGTCCGTTACCGGAAGCAGCTCTGGAAGATCACGGTTGATCGTTCGATTTTGGTGGCGAAAAAATAAACAGTATTCATTTAGTTCACGATGGTTTTAATCCACTACAATAGTGACGTGACCTTTTTGAAACGCTTTCTTTTTTTTTTTTAGAGAGAGGTCGGTGTTTTCTCCTGTCGTGTTAACGTAGTCCTTGTGGCGTTACCTTGCCATCGATACCTTGTCACGTGGCCGTTTCATTGATATATTCCTTCTAACCGCATCGTTGGTATCGTGTTATCGATCGTTACGCACGATTATCTTGGTCTTTTGCATTTGATCGTTCTCTCGAGGCTTAGATCATGTCAACAACGTAGAATTCTAAGTTTTTTTTACATATTCGTAAGACGATGCCACGCGTCTAACCAACGGTTCACTGGTCAACCATTTTTAAAGTGTTCGGAAATGTAATTTTAAGTTCTACAAGACCACGTCCCGCCTCTGGTCTACCCTATCCTCCACATCGTCAGAGTCGAGAGAGCCCAAGCACTTGCACAAGGAAGAAATAAAAAAGAAAAAAAAACCGTAACGACAAAGCGAGTAATACGATCTGCGTATTAACGTCAATTACGCGACCGGCGGGGCTTTTAAGCCGCGTTACGGGGAATCGGGCGCCAGCGTAGACGTGTTAACGCGCGTAAAAACGAGCTCCCCCGTTGACCATGACGAAACAGAAAACTTCGGGGCAATACGAACTCCCCGAGACCCGTAACCTAAACGACAATGCAATTGTTATTTACGTGGAATTACAAACCTAACGCTCGTTCATTGTCGAAGGCAGACAAATGAATGGCGAAAGGCCGATTTTCGGAGCAAACACCACCAATATACATTTCCAGAACATCGAAGGAACCGAAGTTCTCGAGGGAGGTGCAATGAATCGAACGATTTCGAGGATTACGGTCCGAACCGGCGAGGTGCTCTGTGTCCCACGTTACGCACACGAACCGACACGAATGAAAGAAAAAGGTCAGCTTCATTGTCCGCGAAATCCAATCCGACCGGGGCCCGGATCTCTGGGCCCCTGGGGGCCCGGTTTCCGTTGGGAAAGCCCTGTTGTCCCCCTTCGCTCGGAGCCTACCTGGCCCGGCAAAATGCACCCGGCCGCGATATACCTGCCTCGATTCGCGGCTAACTCGAGGGACGAGAGAGAGCTAACTATTACACACAAGTTGTTGGTCGCCTTTATTCTGCCGATCTGCGTTGATGCGTTATTCGAACTAGAGACTCGTCGGTAAAGTATGAACGTAATGGGAAAGGTTTTTCAATATTAGGGATCTGAACATCTGGTAATGGAGTAGTAAATATGTTATTTCAAATATAAAGCTGAATTTTACGAATAGAAATGCGTGCCAATTAATGGTCATAGTGAAATACTGCGGAAAAAACTAGATGTGTAAGCCTTAACACTCGTTATGCAAAGAGAACGATCTGTTTATCGTTGGAAAATAATTTGTAAAGTGTACGTAAGGGGGAGGGCGATCAAGGTCAACCTCTTTTCCACGATCCATTAACTTATTCGAGTGCGTAAGTCGGTAAAATATAGTCGTAATGGAAATATCATTTGGGTACTACTTGCTCACAAAATGAGACTGGCATATTTATGTCGACGAGGAGATTAAAATAACGCCAGCGATAAGAATACGAAATGAGCTTGTTCTGAATGCTTGAATAGCGTATTTGGGAAGCTAATAGAACATTAAATGGAGAAATACGAAGCCAACGTATGTATTTACTTTCACTGCAAAGTGCCCCCTGTCCGTATTTCCTCACCGAGAACCCTAACCTCTCTTTCGCGGAAGCCCCTCTTAACGCGGCGAACAAGTCAATGGAGAGTTCTGCGAAACGCATATTTTACCGGCACGGTCAAGGCGATGGCGACTCTAGATTACTCTAAAACGATCGTCCAATGGAATTCTTTGCTTTGCCCCTGGTGTTTCTTCCTCTTGCTCGCAGTCTCCCGGCGGAGGCGGACATAACCTTCAAATCGTTCTCGACTGAACAACGTATTTCACTGAAATGTTACTTTCACGGTACCTGACTATTTTCCAAATTATCTACAAACGAAATGCGAACCTCTGCGAGCAAGAGAATAGAATCGATCTGGCGGTTCGCGCGAAAAAAACAAAGTAACGTATTTCGGAGTAAAATACTGTGCATGCGTCTTTTGTTATTTTCAGACGCGCGTATGTTTCCACAGTGTATCAACGAATAGGGTCTCGTCATTCCAGTAATTCGAATTGCGAGTAAGCACGATCGAATCCACCAGCACGAGTTGAAAATAGAAAGTAAGCATGGTCTGTATGCCTGGCGCCTCATATCGAACCGACGCCTTCGAACGTATCCAGCAAAGAGAGGGTAGAGAGTGAGGGCAACACACAGACGCCTCACACACTCTCTCTCTCTCTTTCCC